CAAGGCTCTCGGTACTTTACAAGTCTTAATTCTTCTACTCTTGTAGCACTCCCAGAAGAAATACTGTCAAAGATCACATGAATAGTGCTAGAAAGTTTAGGTGACAAGCTTGTATTCTGTGCTTTCACTAGGCTTTGCTTTACACAGCTGCAAACAGCAACAGTTTGCAGCTGACTTGTCATTATCTCCTCCTCCTCTTTCTCCTCCTCCCCTCCCCCTCTTCCTGCCCCTCTTCCTCCTGCCCCCTCCTCCTCTTTCCCCCTCCTCCTTCCTCCTCCTTCTCCTCCTCCTCTTCTTCTTTTCTCCTCCTCCCCCTTCCCCTCCTCCTCTTCCCCTTTCTCTTCCTCCTCCTCTTCCTCTGCCTCCTCCTCCTCCTTTCTTTATTTTATTCTTTCTCTTCTTGGACAGCTAATATTGAACTGTTCTTGATAGCCTTGCCTCAACTTTCTGAGTGCTGCAATTGGGTATGTGCATCATGCCCTGCTAAGTCTATCTCTTCTTTCCATGGATAGTGTTAGAGATTTTGATTCTGCACTACAGCTCATTAATTTAAATATCCTCCCTTGTTAAGTATATGGCATGTACAGTGTCCTAGGACAGACGTTAGAAACAAGCTAATGAGGTGAGCCTAGCTTACATGGAGGAGAGATGTAAAATCCTTTCATAAATACTCATAGGGATGGACAGTTTTATGTGGATTTGACACATGCTGTAGTCATCTGAGAGAAGGACTCCTCAACTGAAAAATGTCTCCACTGAGTGGGCTGGAGGCAAGCCTGTAGGGGGTTTTCTTGATTAGTGATTGATGTAGGTGATGCCAAACCTGAGCTGTTGGTTCAGCGTTCCGTAAGAATTCAGGCTGAGCAAGACATAGGGAGCCAGCCCCCATATGGAACCTCTCCATGGCCTCTGCATCAATTTTAACCTCCAGATTCCTTCCCTGTTTGAGTTCCTGTTCTGACTTCCATTGGTGATGAACAGTGGTATGGAATCATAAACCATATAAACCCTTTGCCCCCCAAGTTGCTTTCGGTCATGGCGTTTGTTTCATCACAGCAGTAGGAACCCTAACTGAGACGCTGATTGAAATATACATCACAATTAAAACTTTCAATGATGGATAGTGATTGAATGTTTGGGGATTGTTTGGCATTTGACGGATTGATGATATGATAAAGGCCTTGTGTGTAGAAGGTGAAGTGACATGTAAAGGACAAAATGGGAAGCAGGTATGACAATAATTGGGTTCTATGACCAGTGGTGGAAGACAGCTTCTAACAGCCTTGGGTGCTCAAGAAAGGAGTGGATTTAGGGGTTGGAAAGATGCCTCAGTGTTTAACAGCAATTACTGCTCTTCCAGAGACCAGAGTTTTGGTTCTCAGTTTGAGTCTCATGTCAGATGGCTCGAAACCCCCTGAATCTCCAGCTCCAGGAAACCCAGAACTCCTCAGGCACCACACACATGCACACATATCCCACACAGACATGTACAAACTTAAAAAAAAAATTAAAAGATGAAGTGAAATCAACGTAATCCATTAATGGAAATAGTAAGAAAAGGAAAGATACATAATTAACTCCTGAGAACCATGGGCCTCTTTACGCTTCAGACCCGCTAAATGGACAAGGTCATGGATAGCTGCCGTTCGAAGAGATTTTCTGTTCCCAGGCAATGCACAAAGAGACACCTTGTTGGTGGTCAGGGTCACCTGACTTACATAAGTCAGGGCAGGGCAGATGGCCAGTCCTTTGTTTATCCTCGAGTGATGCCTGGCTTGGTGGTCAAAGCTGTTTTATGCCTAGGACTCATAAAAATCAAGTCAAATCAAATCAAATCAAATCAAACTCAGGCAATGTAGTGAGGGAGGAGGAAGACAGGCAGAGATGGCCATGCCATCCACAGAGCTGCCCTCCAGTGCATGTCACAGGCGGGCCATAGCCAACTGCTTACAGCCACATCATGCAGCAAAGATGGAGGATGTCACCCAGGGGCCTGCCAGCCATGTGACCAGCCCGCAGCAGAAGTCACCACAATGTGTAAGTATGTGATGGGTAGATGGGAGAGAGAGAGAGAAGTGGAGCAGCTGGAACACTATGACGAGAGGCGAAGCTGGAGACGCCTGGGTGGAGAGGAGTAGCCTGTTGTGAATGGTCAGTTCTGTCACCTGTGGCCATGGCCCATAGCCATGATGAGGCCTCAGCCCAAGATGCTGCTTAAAGCCATGTGTGAGCCCATCTCTCAGCAGTAACTCAGGAGAGTGCGCCCTGTGCTACACCCAGGCAGCACAGTGGAGCTGGCCCAGGTGGCACAGTTGTGGGTGAGGCGGCCCAAGGGTATGAGCATATGAGAGCTGATTCCACCACTCATCTGCTTTGGGATGCAGAGACAGGGCCCCTCCACCACTCGCTTCCTCTCCTTGCCGCCTATGGCAGTCAGGAAAGATGACTACAGCATCCTGAGTTTGGGAAAGCTATCCCTTCCCCTCACCAGCTGCAACACTCAGGAGAGTAGGCCCTGTGCCTCTCGTGGACAGCACACCAGACCTGACCATGGTGGTTGAGGCACAGGCGAGCCAGCCCCAACCTTGAGGGCATGGAAGAACTGACCTTGCCACTAATCTGCCTTGAGGTGGTAAGGGTACAGGGGTGTTGCCTTCCCCCACTTACCACTTGCCATCCAGGGCAGTCCGGAGAGCAGACCCCTGGGTCATGACAGCAAGTGAGCTTGGCCCTGTCCATTGCCTGCGCAGCACTCCTGAGAGCGGGCCTTGCTCTTCACCTGGGCAGCACAGTAGAACTGGCCCTGGTTAAGGGGGAGCAGGTGAGCCAGCCACAAGGACAGAATGAAGGAGAGCTGGCCCCGCTACTGGACTGGTAGGAGGTGATGTGGGTGTGGGGGTGATGACCCTCCCCTATCACCCCTCATCATCTACAGCAGTCAGGAGAACTGGCCTTGGGGTCACGAGAGTGCATCAGTGGGCCCTTCCCATCATCACTGCAGCATTTGGGAGAGCAGGTCCTGTACCTCCTTTGAGTAGTATGGTAGAGCTGGCCCTGGTGGAGAGGGTGCAGGTGAGCCAGCCCCAAGAGTGTGAGAGCAGGAGAGCCGGCCCATCTCTTCTCAGGCTTCAGCACTTGAGAGAGTAGGCCCTACACATTGGCTAGGCAGCACAGTGGAGCTGGCGGTAAAGGCATGGGTGGGGTGAACCACTCCCCCACAAGGGCATGAGAGCTGCCCCTGCCTCCTGCTGATGGGAACACTGGCTGGCCTAGCCAGAGCCCTGCTGGGGAGATTGCCTTATTGAGCAGATAAGGGAGAGCTAGCAGGCTAGTCAACTCAGCTATCAACCAGGCTGAGATCCAGATCTCTGAATCTGCCCACCCCAAAAACCTATATCATCTGTGAATGGTTGATGTGCTTGAAAGGGCCAGCCTTGTTTATCCAAGGCTGCAGGATCTCCATGACACAAGGCAACAACAGGATGACCACTAGGAGAAGACATGATGAAGATCTAATGTTGGTGTCGCAGTAGCCAGAGATACTGAACCAGACCAGTGACTCATTGCAATGAATATTTGCAAGTGAAGATGTGTGGACAGATGATACACTATGGGACACAGTGTGACACACTACAGCTTTCAAGATCAGATGTTTTCTATGCTTTAGTATTTTGTTGTTGTTATGTGTATGTGTGTATGTTTTATTTCGGTGGGGAGGTGGCAAGGGCAAAGGGTAAATATGAGGGGGCAGGAAGATAAGCAAGTATGGGGTGTGTGATGTGAGACTCACGAAGAATCAATGAAATTTAAAAAAAAATCACAACAAAACAAAGAAGTGATTCTGCTCCTTTCCCGCACCTCTCCTTTGCCTCCGCCTCCTTGGCCTTTTGTGCCTCTTGCCTAACCAATGTCTACATTCATCACCTCAAGCCAACCTCACTTTATCAAGGCTTACTCTTGAGTTTCAGCAAAGTACTCAGTTCCTGCCAGTAAGAGATTATACATGCATTTAAATTTCTGCCACTTTCTACTTGTGTACTCAAAAACGCCTTTTATTCGTGGAATAGCCTGAGCACTGTAGTGAGAAGAAAAATGGGTCTCTGTGGGAGGAATAGGCTATTACAGGAAGAACCCTGAAACATCAAGTCTCAGTAGCTCTTTGGCTCACCTAAGACTCTTTCTGGTTCATCAGCCTTGCTCTATTGTAATTGAGAAAAACAACAGAGTTTCGGTCATTTTTGTCATCAATGCAACAAAATATAAGACAAAGTCAACTTACTTTCGGCTTCTTGTTTGGAGTTCAGTTCATCGTCTCTGGGAAGGCATGGTAACAGGGACATGAACTAGCTGGCCATATTGTATATAGATAGATACAGGATCCAGACAGGTATAAACGCTGACCCTCCGTGCTTTCTTCTTATATAGTTCAAAATCACAGCCAATGGAATGATGCTGCCCATGTTTGGGCTGAGGCTTCCCACCTCAGTTAACTCAATTCAGCAACTCCTGTGCATAAATGCCCAGAGGTTTGTCTGCTGTGTGACTATAGATCCTGTCAAGTTGGCCATCAGTATTCACCACCAGCACTGACAGCCTTTCAGCTTTGCCTCTTATCAACAGTGTCCCTAGTATAGGTCCTGTCCTCTCTGAGTCCGCTATGATATTTCCCTAGATGTGATTAAAAGGTAACGTGGTTGGGACTCCTTTGATGACAGTCATTACTGTTAATTTCTGTTTGCAGCTTCCTTGTCTTTCTGGGCAGCAGTTTCCCCTAAGGAGCTCTGTGTTTTTAAACGTTCATCTTTGCATAACAGTGAGAGCGGTTCAGTTCACCTTCAGTGCCTGCCTGCAATTGTCTCTGTCCTTGTCTGAGTTTTTGTGTTTCATTCCTAGACGAGAAGGAAGGATAACTTTCTGAATGGCCTTGGAGTGTGGTGATGGTGGCCTTCAATGGGAATGTACTGCTTTTTCACCTTGGATTTTTATGCCTTTTTTCTTAGATTGAAGAATTGATTGAGAGACACTTCGGTAGTCGCAGCAGAAGAGCCATCCTCCACAGGCCTCCTTCCTACAGCAGAGCGGAGCTTCAGACACACCAGCACCTTCTTGTTCAGCATGGCTACAGTGTTGTCACTGTGGAAGAAAGGCTTGGTGGTGGTCTAAGTCCGGAGCTGCTGGACCAAGGTTAGAATAATAAATAACTTTCAAAATTACTCGACATCCAAACAATGTTGCTTATTTTCATCCTCTCAAACTGTTTCACAAAACAAGATTTTTATCCGTGACCAAATATCTGATATCACACACCCGGCTTCTGTGTCTCTTTTTATTACCTTTTCTCAGTCTTCTTTAGTTAAATCTCTTTATTCTTAGAATTATTCTGTTTGTATTTCTGTAGCATTTTCGAGTCACATAGCCCGTGTTTAAATGCTACATTAAAAATGTTTATGTTTATGAGTGTGAATAAATATTCTGCCTAGCACCCAACTGTTCCATATTTTAAGAAAATTGCCACTTCATTTGACTGCAAGTAGAATGTGCTGGAAATTGTTTTTGCAAAGCCAGTTGAAATGGGATTCGCAGATGGCTTTAAATATGAAAGTAGTAAGGGCATTTATTATGCACGCCATTAGTCATCACGTATTTTCATTTCTATCATTTGGAAAGAAAATTAAGAGACAAGTTGTTAAATAAATTATTTGAAAGAAAATTAGTAGATGACGAAGGCTGAGAGGGCAAAAGACAAACAGCGACTAGCTCCCCAGCAACTGAACACAGGGCATGTGCCAGGCTAAACTTTGGACTCACTATCTTATTCAATACTCTCTGTCGCTGCCTGGCCAAGACTGAGAAAGGTGGATTCTCTTCACATTCCAAGAGAGGAAACTGTGTCTTTGCATGAAGAAATGGCCTATAGTGGTATAAGGAACGGATGGATGGTAAGCTCCAAATCCCACCCTAATTTCCTGTGTTCTTCTTCTTTGTCCCTCTGCTGCCTTAGTCTCTTGTGACTCATTATCCAGCACCAAACTCATGGGAGACACACTAATACAGACTGTGCATGCAGCATAAGCCAGTCACATTTTCCTTTTTATAATGACACAATATAGTTATCCCTCAGCGCCCACAGAGCATTGCTTCCAGTACTCCCTGCAGACACCCAACTTCCATCTGTGAAATAGGGTACTCTTTGCAAATAACCCTCCCACACATTTTGAATGCTTGTAGATCATTTATAATACCTAATGTAATGAAAATATAACACACATAGTTAATATACGTAGGGTATTGTTCAGGGAATAATGACAGTGTTAACTCTTTACTTTCAATGCATATGTGAGAACTAGAGAAATATTGTCACAGTAGAATTTGCAGAAGTAGAACACTAAATATGGAAAGATTGTGTGTGCATATATTTTTTTCTTTTTTTTTTCTTTTCATAAGAAAGGTAAAAGAAATAATTTGAATTGACTTCTGTTTTCCATGGTAGTTTCCTTTGGTAGAGAATAGTCAGATTCTAGTGCCCAAAAATACTCTTGTAGCAAGCTGGCTTCTCAGGAAGTGTGGTATTCCTTTCCTGGCTTGTGGGGATGAAAGGAAGTTGTCAAGATGTTTCTGAGAAAGATGGATGATGCTTGACCTTGTTCACTCTTCACACTTGGCTGGTGAAGGTCTCAGGCCCTAGAACCTATGAAGATCTGTTTGATGAGAAGAAAGGCAGTCTTGAGGTATTGAGAGTGTATTGTTTGTAAGGCAGGCCTCTGAGAATGCAACATACTGGTCTCTGTCTTATAGGAGTGGCTTAGAAATCAAAGCCAGTGGACCTGTATTTACAAATAAGAAAAATGTAAAGGAATATGTAAGCTCTGGGATGTTGAGAAGAGCTGAAAACCAAGTGGGTGACCCTTCTTGAGTTTCTCCTGTTTTAATTCCATTCCAAGGGAACAAGCTGAAGCTGCGGAACATTTGGAAGTGACATCATTGAAACCTCATTAGAAAATGTTTGGATAATGAAAGTTTACAAAATGATCAGCATCTCCCTTGTCCCATACGGAGTGAGGTGATTGCCTAGCACCCCTCCACAGAGCTATGTGACCAGCATTCTCGATGTCACGCTAAGTGCCCCTGATGGCGTGCTACTGCCATCTAAAACCCCTATATTCCACTATGTTTTGATGCTGCCCCAGACTCAGTGTGGATACAACATGGATCATCTGTGCATTTCACCTTCAATTCAATTTTAAATTTCCCCAGCTGCAAAACAGATGGGTTGCATCACCTCTTCCCCTTGATGTCTGTGGGTCAGTTTGACACAAACTAGGAGGATTGTTTTGCAGCTTCCAAGTAGGATGAAAGTGCAAAGGCAGCTCGAAGCAATAGAATCTGGCAGCCCTGAGGAGCTGCTGGGCCCGATGACCAGGGATAACTGTGAAATGTCACCAGCATTCATCATGTGGGAGCTGATTCAATTCCCCTTCCCACAGTCCCTGAGCTTTAAAAACATCCTCTCAGCTTATCTTTGCATTCCTTTACTCTGTTGCCTATTGCCACCAGCAATAGGATCAGTTTCGCAATATGTAAAGTATGAAAATTGATTCTGGTTTTTAATATTTTTCTTTCACTGTGGAGCAACGTGCAGAAAAATACCTGAAATAAAACAACCCTGTAATTCTAATCTAACATATACCATATATGGGATTGAAAGAGAAATGACAACTTATTTTATACGAACCCCAATTTAACCTATAAGCTATATTTGAGTTGTACATATGACACACTCTACAGAAATACCTCTTCGGAATGGGATTCTCTTGTTTCTTTTGCTGGGACACATATACTGCCTTGTTATTTTACCTCCTGTGCATGAACACAGCAGGAAGTTGTACCGATGTGTGTGTGTGTGAACTCAGGCCCTGAGGCTGAGCAGCTGGAAGTGGAAAGGACTCTGAAGGACCTGGAGCCCAGCCTCGTCCTGCATGCCCTTTACTCTGCCTTTGCACTTCCTTCCTGGGACCAACCCAGAGTCTGAAAATAGGACATTAAAGCCAAAGTGTGCCCATGCAGCAGAGGGCACAGCAGCCTGTTGATGTGTTGACAGAGTGCATTTATAGGGAAATAAGTGCGAGACCTATTTTCTTTTTTTTTACTAAAAGCATGCTGTTTCTACCTGCTCTTCTCTCCTGCCCCAACTTCGCCCTGATCACTCTGCTGAGCTCTCTTTTTATGTCATCATTTAAGGAAAAGGTGACCTTTTTCAAGCTTAGAGCCACTTTTAAAATCCTTTACAGGATGATAAAAAATAATAAAAGTTAGGAAAAAATATATAAAAGGGTCATAGGCCAGACAGGCAACATTCTGCTCTTAGATGTAACCTGTACTGATAGAATAGCTTCTGGTTTTCTTTTTTAATTTTGTTTTAATTTTCATTATATTTTATGTGTGCAGGTGCTTTGCCTAGAAACATGGCTGTGTATTGCTTGTGTGAATGTTGCCCTGGTAGGCTAGAAGATGTGTAAAGAGTCCTTGGAACTGAAGTTACAGGCAGTTGTGAGCTCCATATGTGTGCTGGGAATAGAACCCTAATCCTCACTACCAGCAGCCAATGTTAGTCTGAGCTGTCTCTCTTGCCCCAGGATTTGTACTTTATTTATTTCTTTATTTTTTAATTCTATTAAATGAATGCCATGTAAAAGACAAAGTTGGCAGTATCAGGTCGTAAACTATAGGAACGTTATGTGTCCTCCTTTGCTAGCTGTTAATTCCATTCTTAGGGGCATACATGACATTGATGAGTCCCTTGGGAAAGAATATCAGCTGAGATTATAGGAATCATTTCAGCTCCGGATCTCTGTTAAAGGTAGTTGTAATATTTGCTTCTAAATAATATGCGAATGGACTTAACCACTTTCTCAAGCTCTGTTTGAGAAGAAGCAAATACACTCCTGCCTACATTTTATCTCATTCATACTTCTGGGATGGGGCCTGAATTGTATATGCTAAGAACACATACATGCTATGCGTACGAGCAGCCAGGTTAGGGACACTGATCTAAGGGGTAGACAATGGATTCGAAGAGCAACAGTTCTCAGGATTAAACTTTAGAATGAAAAAATACCCAAAACCCTGCTTGCTGCTGTACCGTTGTATTGATTATAATTTAACAGTGTAGGTGTTTACAGTCATCATTTAGTCTTTACAGAGGCTTTGAGAACAGCACAAGAACAATAGTCCTTTTAGAGTTAGGTCTATAAAATGTCACAGATTGAAGACATACTCTCATGGCCTTCCAATCCCTTGCTTTTGAAAAATAGACTGTATGTCCTTGCATTTGGGGAAACATAATTCTCTAAGGAAAAGATAGTCTCTCTTCTACCACTCAGGTACTATTTAATAAATCAGTGAATTAATGTACAGTGGCCTAAAAGAAAGTAGACGTTTTATATAAAACATAGAAGTTTATTTTTTAAAAAAAGTAGAAGTTTAAGTAAAATGTGCCCTAAGAGACTCCGACTCTGAGTCGTTTTTATACTGGATCAGAATTATTCATGTGTGCTTGAAGAGTTTTCAACTTCCAAATATATTGTATGCTTTTACATTCTGTGTATTACAGGCCAAATCTGGTCTCAAAGCTACAGAATTTGAAAAATATTAGTGTCTTCTTACTTGAAGGGTTTCGATGGAATGCTTTCTGAAAAAAAAAAAAAAAGTAATAGGCCTTACTTTCCAAGGTTGGCCAAATCTATTCCATTACCTCTTTGTGCAAATAAAGCTTTATTGGAACACAATCACGCTCTTTTTTTTTCTCACGTTGTGTTTAGCTACAATGGAGTTGCTTAGTTTCAGTGGACATTGCATGGCCCTGCACCCTAACATTTAGATGGTTTCACCTTTATGGGAAAGTTATTTTGACTGATGTATATAGAAGGATAAAAAGATGTAACTGGGTTCTACTGGAACCGAGGTTGGAGATGATTTTCTTTTTTTAAGCTGCAACAAATCCCATTCAGGAAGAATTCTTTGTCTTGCAATAAAGCATATAATAAAACAAGTACCAAAATGGAGACATAAAATTAGCACCCACATTGGATATTCCTTCTTAGCTATAATAATGTGAGCTAAGCTTTGCTCTGAAATCTCCAAAGATCTAGAGCAACAACTACATGTTTGCAGAAGGAAGGAATAGG